GAGGTTTTTTGAGACAGGGATATATATAACCCAGCTTGGCTTTTGTGTTTATTCTTCATGAATGTTCACACACCCCCCACATGCATATACCTTCGCTTTACCTACTTTTAGAAGCTTAGACAGTTTTCATTTGGGATAAGGGAGAGGAGAGGGCAGAAGCCCATTGTTTCTAGGAACCTTTACTTAAATGTTAGACATTGGTTAACTGTATTCTGTAGCCTTCACATGGTGGCTGTTTACATGTTCAACATGAGACTTGAATCACTTTGTGGGCTTGAAACAGTGTATCTTTCTGAGCACTTTAGTTTGTATGCCTAGATCCTGGGTTTGTTTCCCCCCTTTTTTGTGCTAATAGTTGAACCCAGGGCCTGGCCAATGCTGTGCCAGTCTCCAGCCTTCTGTCTTCTCTGAGATAATTCTTGTTTATTTATAAACAAATTGTGCTCATGGAGGTCAGAGGATGATTAGCAAGAGTCAGCTTGCTCCACCTTGTGGATCCCAGGGAATGAACTTGGGGCTTACGGAAACCACACACATACACACACTTTTCTTTTTGAAGCCACATCTCGTAATCTAGGCTGGACTCAAATGTCACATGTACTGTGGATGACCTTGAACCTCATCTGAGCTGTGACCTATCCCCACGTGCTGGTATTACAAGCATGTCACCACACTCTGCCAGATCCAAAAATAAAAGTGAATTTGAAAAAAAACTGGGCTTGGTAAGGGCTAGCTATACAAGAAAGGATCTCAGTTTGTCCACATAAAAGTGGACATGGCGGCATGCGTGTATAATACCAGTACTGGGGAGGCTGAAACAATTCAGGCTGATAAGAGATCCTGTAAACAAAAGACCCATCTCGGCTCACCTAGCCTCCAAACATGATTGATTTGGGATAGGCACAGGCTAACCATTTCTAAGTGAGCTGTGCCGAGTTAGCTCCCAGCTGGTCCGTCTGGCAGTGGTGCTCAGGTGGTCTGCCATTTCTTCAACAGGTGGTTTGTGATGAGAATGGCTCTAAGGGTTATGCCTTTGTCCACTTCGAGACCCAAGAGGCTGCCGACAAGGCCATCGAGAAGATGAATGGCATGCTCCTCAATGATCGCAAAGTGTGAGTGTCCCAGTCTGGAGCGACAACCATCGCATGAGCCAGCCATGGCCCCACCTCGGTATTAACTGGCACACACAAGGCGGCTACTGGTTCTCTCGGCCCAAGTGTGGCCTGCTCCTACCTCTCCACTCCAGGGCTGGTGAGTCTCCCTGCCCCAGCCATGGCAGCCCTTTTGACTCACCACGATCGGCTCCCTGCCCGAGCCATGGCCTGCCTGCTGCCTCTCCCTTAAAGGAAATTTACCTGTGGGTTTTGTGAGCATCAGCAACTGGGGCTGGGACAGCTCTGAGCCCACTCTGAACAGGGGTCTTGGCCAGCGGCAGAGTGGAGAGGCCCTGGGCTGACCAGGAGCTGGACACTACTAGCTATGTGACCATGGCTTTCCTTTGACTCAGGTCCACCTATGGGCCTTTTGCTAGTTTTTGGCACCAATTTATCCTCTCTAATTCTTCCTTCCTCTGAGCTGTAATTCACTGTATGCTTAGTTTGCATACAGTGAAAAATCCATCCCTTTGCAGATACACTGTAACATCTTGTCATTGCTGTGGGGTGGGGACAGAACTTAGCTGAACCAATTGGGGAAAATGAAAGTACTGTTACATAAGGGCTATTACAAACAACAATCACTTCTGCCCTTTGTGGTATGGAATGTCCAAGGCTGTGTTTATGCCTGTCTGTGTGTCGGGTGTGGAGCTCTTTTCCTGTTGGATACAACAGGAAAGCAAGGGTTACCTCTAATCGCAGCAATCTCACTGCTAGACTAACCACAGTTAACAGTTTGGTTTATATCCTTCCAGACATTTTCTATGCATTTACATAGATGCACAGAAATGAACGTTTTAAAAACATGGTCGGCAGGTTTCTTCATGAAGGCAGTGTGATGTGGTAGGAGTGGCCCTGGTCTCAACCAGAGCCCTGGGGCTGGTCCTTGCAGGATAGTCCTGTCTCTTCCTTTTTCTGCTGGGGACTTGGGGCATCTGAGCTTGTTCTCATGGTGGATGGGGTCCTCGTGTTTTAACCTCTCTTATCAGCCTTTAACCTACATTCCTTTGGGCCCCTGGAAATGATGCTTGTTCCTTCTGGGTAATTAATCACTGTTCTTCGTGGTTTCTTTGTAGGTTTGTGGGCAGATTCAAGTCTCGCAAAGAGCGGGAAGCTGAGCTCGGGGCCAAGGCCAAGGAGTTCACTAACGTTTACATCAAGAACTTTGGGGAGGAGGTGGATGATGGTCGCCTGAAAGAGCTCTTCAGCCAGTTTGGTGAGTCGAGTCTGTAGTGCCCTTGTACTGGCCATCAGCTCAGGAAGTACCCTGCCTTTGCTTCAGAAACAGGGCTCTTACCAGGGTCAGACGGGGAATAGCGTCCAGGCCTAAGATGAAGTCTTGTCTTCGTCTTAGCTCTGTCTGTTGTAAGGTTATCCTAGATGCTTGGTTGAGTCATGGTACCTCTTCCTGCCTCAGACCTATCTGGGCTCAGCCAGAAATTTCCTTCAGCTGAGTTACTGGCAAGAAGTCTTGGGATGTGATAGAGATGGTGTCACTAATAGTTCTGTCCTTTGGCAATAGGTAAAACTATGAGTGTCAAGGTGATGAGAGATCCCAGTGGGAAATCCAAAGGCTTTGGCTTTGTAAGTTACGAAAAACACGAGGATGCCAATAAGGTGAGTGTACTGTGAGGGTCAGGAAGAACCTATAGGTGCTACCTAGTGCATGGTAGAGCCCAGCAAGACTGGGTTGTGTATTGGTCCGGGTCATCAGCACAGATGCAGTCCAGTTTCATCACCCAGCATTTGATCATTAGATCACAGCATCTGCCCATGTTTATACAAATGCAGGGATGTAGTCTTCTCTCCTCCCTCTTTCTTTCTGCCCTCTGCACTCAAATCTTTCCCAGTCCTGCTGCTTGGTGCCGGTCTGGGGACAGGCGGTGCTACAGTAGAGCAGAGAATATCCAGACAGGTTTTCCATTTATCCTGGGGCCTGTCCCTACAGCTCTGCCACATTTCCTCCAGAGCAAGGAGGTGGGAATTAAGGACAAAAGGTGTGGGTAGTAATATGGTTAGATGCTAACCCTGCTTTCCAGGTGAGTGAGATCAGGGTAGCAGGCTTCAGAGATGGGATGAAGCAGATTTGCAGTCCAGTGGGATAGGCTTTTCTGGGTGTACTGGTCTCTGCTCCAGAAGACAGTGTCTCTGCACTTGCACTAAAGATGTACATTTTCTCTCTAGGCTGTGGAAGAAATGAATGGAAAAGAAATGGGCGGGAAAGCAATATTCGTAGGCCGTGCACAGAAAAAGGTAGAGCGCCAGGCTGAATTAAAACGGAAATTTGAGCAGCTGAAGCAGGAGCGTATTAGTCGGTACCAGGTGAGCTGGGCTGCTCTTCTTTTTCTACTTGTTTTGTTTTGAGTTTCTCTGTTGTTTTGGAGGCTGTCCTAGAACTTGCTCCGTAGACCAGGCTGCCAGGCTGTCCTTGAACTCACAGAGGTCCATCTGCCTCTGCCTCTGCCTCCAGAGTGCTGGGATTTAAAGGCGTGCGCCACCAGTGCCCAGCTGCTGGGCTGCTAAGAGGAGTTCACTATTGAGTGTTTGCAAAGTGCTTGCCCCCAGTGTTTTAGACCTCCCTTTGGGGCACTTGACACCCATACTTAACTCTCTACAAAGATCAGGGTTAAAGGTCGTGCCCTACCAGGTATGGCAATCACTGCTAAGCAGGGACAATGATCTCAGCCTCTCTGTTGTGTCTGCTTACTGCTCTTGGCTCTGGTCTGGCTTCCTTTTTCTTAACCCCTTTTGGAGTGAGAGTGATTGACCAGAGGAGGTGACAAGGTTGCATTGATGGCCCTAGCAGTTGCTCAATTTAGGATTGTACCAGAATCCTCTGCTGTTGTGGGTTTTTTTTTTTTTTGGCCTGGAAGAAGTAACAATGTAGCTTAGGCTGACCTTGAACTCTTAAAAACTCTTTAAAACACAACTCTCTTTAAAACACGCTGTGCCCCAGATCCGAAGTTCTCAGGTTTTGGTTTTGTGTTTTTGAGTCAGGGTCTTACTATATAGCCTAGGCTGGCTTCAAACACTCAATAGTCCCTCTATCTTGTAACCCAGGGTGTTGGGGTTACAGGCAAGGGTTTATGATTTCTGTGTTTTGGTTTTTTTCCCCCTACCCAAGACATGGTTTTCTGTATATCCCTGACTGTTTTGGAACTCACTCTGTAGACTGGGTTGGTTTCCAACTCAGATCTGCCTGCCTCTACCTCTGGAGTGCTGGGATTAAAGGTGTGCATCACTGCTACCCAGATTTATTCATTTATTTAGAGACAGGGTTTTCCTGTAGCTTTGGGGCTTGTCCTGGAGTTAACTGTAGATCAGGCTATCTCTGCCTCCAAAGTGCTGGGATTAAAGGCGTGTGCCCTTACCTCTCAGTGTGTCTACTCATTTAATTTTTGCAGACAAGCGTTTTAATTTGATAGGTTCCAAAGCATTTTCTGGGACCCACGTTTGGGAAATAGCTTTGTATACAGTTGTAACTAAAAGTGATCCCTTTCCCAGGGAGTGAATCTCTACATTAAGAACTTAGATGACACCATTGATGATGAGAAGTTAAGGAAAGAGTTTTCTCCTTTTGGATCGATCACCAGTGCTAAGGTGAGTGGGAGCTAAGTATGAGCATGTATGTTTGGTATGAGTATGTGTGTTTGGAAACAGAACATTCTGTTGATGGGTATTGATGTTCAGTTATTTGTGTTGGTGGTCCTGAGTACAGTGTTCAGCATACCCCTCCTTGCTTCAGATGCCCCCAGGGGTCATGCTCTGGAGAAGTATACTTGTGATGTATTGTCTACTTGGACTGGAGCTTGGAGTCTGACCCAGATCCTCCCTGTAGTTCCCACAGCACTCAAATCTTTCCCAGTCCTGCTGCTTGGTGCCGGTCTGGGGACAGGCGGTGCTACAGTAGAGCAGAGAATATCCAGACGGGCTTTCCGTTTGTCCTGGGGCCTGTCCCTACAACTCTGCCACACTTCCTCCTGAGGGTGTTTTAAAGAATTAACAGGCTCCATGTGAACCTGTGACAAAGTCTGGTTGGGTAGCCATGGTTATGAGGGTGTGATCTGTAGCATCGGGAATGTGACAGACTGGTGTCTCTAGAATGTGTGTGGCCTGACACAAGGTGCTGCTTGCCACAGTTGCCACTGGTAGTGAGAAAGACTGGGTGGCTAAATAGGATTGGCCCTGCCCTCCCTCTTAGTGTAAGTTGCTCTCAGGGTAGGGACATTGTACAAAGGGTGTTAACCATTTGTATGGTATGGTTTAAATTTTTGTTTTGAGGTAGGATCTTGATACATAGACCCAACTGGCCTTCAAACTCGGAGATCTACCTGCCTGTGTCTCCTGGGTGCTGGAATTAAGGTGTGTGCACCACATCCAGCCGAGGGTGTTGTATTTAAATGATAGCCCTTTCTCAGGGTGCTGGCAAGAAGGACCCTAGAGGGTGGAGTGGTTAGCCAGAGCACTGTGGTGGTGCTTTGGTCCTGGCGAACTCTGGTTTTCCCATTTTCCTCTGGGTGTCACTCACTTGACTGGCCTGTTGCAGAGTCCCCTTGCAGCAAGCAAAACTGTACCCCAAAGTCCCTGGTGCCATTTTCAAGATCATGGCAGGGCACTGTTCCATGGGTAGGACATTGATGATCTGGTAACACACTGACTTTGGGTTGATGGTGCCAACACTCAAAACACTCGGAAGTAATAAGGAAACAGTTGCTGTCTCTGTAGATTGCAAGGAGCAGCGGCTGTGTGCTATGTTTAGGCCTATAGTTTTTTTGTTTGTTTGTTTTTTGTTTTTCGAGACAGGGTTTCTCTGGCTTTGGAGGCTGTCCTGGAACTCGCTTGGTAGTCCAGGCTGGTCTCGAACTCACAGAGATCCGCCTGCCTCTGCCTCCCGAGTGCTGGGATTAAAGGCGTGCGCCACCAACGCCCGGCTAGGTCTATAGTTTTTGAGAAAGGGTTTCACAGCTGCTCTTGGTCTTCTGGGCCTCCTGCCTCTCCTAGTGCTGACCCAGTGCCTGTATGCGTGCGTCCCTTCCTTTTGGAAGCTGTGCCTTCCTCAGTGTTAGCTGCTGTCATTGTAGGTGATGTTAGAAGATGGACGAAGCAAAGGGTTTGGCTTTGTCTGCTTCTCATCTCCTGAAGAGGCGACCAAAGCAGTCACTGAGATGAACGGAAGGATCGTGGGCTCGAAGCCGCTGTACGTTGCCCTGGCCCAGAGGAAGGAAGAGCGGAAGGCTCACCTGACTAACCAGTACATGCAGCGTGTGGCTGGCATGAGAGCACTCCCTGCCAACGCCATCTTAAGTCAGTTCCAGCCTGCAGCTGGTGGCTACTTTGTGCCAGCAGTTCCTCAGGTGAGTGTGCCAGCTGTCTCTTCTGCAGCTGCGGGTGAGGGATTCGGGTACTGGTGTTCAAGTGAGGAGTTAACCTGTGATCACTAGCTATGTGGTCACAGAGATAGAGTAAGGCTGCCCCCTAACCGATCCTTTGGCTTTCCAGTGCAATGCCTTTCACCCGAATCTTTAGCCCAGGGCCGAGTAGTGAGGTGGGGGAGTCAGGACTATGGTGTGGGTGGGTTCCAGTTCTCAGTATTTGGGTGCTCTTATCCCCTCCAGGCTCAGGGAAGGCCTCCATATTACACGCCTAACCAGCTAGCACAGATGAGGCCTAATCCACGCTGGCAACAAGGCGGGAGACCTCAAGGTAGGTAGCAGGGGCCAGGGGTTTGCTCACCGGTTGGACCTGTCCAGTTCTGCTTCTGAAGCCCTGACTCTGGCTTGTCAGTGACCTGCTGTCGCTGTCTCTTCACCAGGCTTCCAAGGAATGCCAAGCGCTATACGGCAGTCTGGGCCTCGTCCAGCTCTTCGCCATCTGGCTCCAACTGGTAATGCTCCGGCCTCTCGTGGCCTTCCTACTACCGCTCAGAGAGTCGGTGAGCAAACTGGCCTGTAGGAGCATGGCCGGGGAGGAGGGAATCAGGATAGCTAGCTGTGCCCTGGCATGGTCAGGCTGGGACTTGTTTTCCAAAGTCCTGGTTCTGTCTCTTCTGGTATGCTTAGGCAGGTTCTTCATTCAGGAACAGTGACTGAGTGAGTCCTAGGTCTGTTGGTTACTCTGAACATTCTTTGCTCATTGGTGGCACATGAAGGGTTAACAAGAAGTGTTCTGTCAGACACTATCAGACAACCTGCTGATGAGGGGGTGGGGAAGAAGGAAACGTTTAGATTGTCATATTCTAGGTGTGCAAAAATTTGTATGGTGTCCCTTGGCCCTGTGAGAGACATGTGGTCATGTGTTGGAAATGCTTCCGTGGGGCGTGGCCAGTTGGACATCTGCTGCCAACACTGATGTGCATTTGCTGGTCTGTTGTAGGGTCTGAGTGCCCGGACCGCTTGGCTATGGACTTTGGTGGGGCTGGTGCCGCCCAGCAAGGGCTGACTGACAGCTGCCAGTCTGGAGGTGGTATTGGCTGCGCACAGATGGGGGAAAGCTGGGATTTGACGGGCCTTTGCCCAGGCTGACTAGCTTTAATCATGTTTGTTCTTCCTACAAGGTGTTCCCGCGGCTGTGCCAAACCTTGCACCTCGTGCCGCCGTTGCTGCCGCTGCTCCCAGGGCTGTGGCGCCATACAAATACGCGTCCAGTGTCCGCAGCCCTCACCCTACCGTTCAGCCCCTGCAGGTGAGGCCCACCACAGCCCTGGAGGGAGGCCTTTGTCCGTCCTGTTTAAAGATGCCTTCATTTCATTCCTCTTACCAGCTGCCGCACGCCTGTTCTGTCTCCCGTTGGTGGTTCAGACACTGGCCCTGATTAGTATTAGTAACAGTTCAGGAACACCAAGAAGCAACTGGTGCTTCCTGTCCCTTAGACACACCTGCCTGTCTCAGCTCTGTGAGCCTTGGTGATCACTGGCTGTTTTGCAAGTTAATGTGGAATATAAAGGCAATTAGGAACCTCTAACTTAGAAATAAAACTCAGCTTCAGGGGCTAGGGACAAATGACTCAGTTGGCAGTCTTGACAAGGCTCAAGACCACACTTTACAGTGTAAAGCATGAGGACCTGGGTTCAGACCCCAGGCACATGTGTTAAAAAAAAAGCTGGACCTGGTGGTATCAGACAGACTCTGGGACTTGCATGGAATAGCTAGCTAGTATAGATAACCAAAGTGACCTCCGGGTTCTGAGAAAGACTATATCTTAGAAAATAGGTGGTGAGTGTTGGAGAGACAGGCACATGCTACATACCACACACAGAAGGCTAGGCAGGGTGGCCCATCCTTGTAATGTCAGTATTGGAGAGGCAAAAACAGAGTCCCTGAGGCCAGCCAGCCTACTGGGCAGATTCCAGACCAGGGGGATTTTCTGTCAAAAAAACTTGGTGGGGTGGATCGTGCCTGAGGAACAAGACCCCTATCCCTTCCTAAATGTTGGGAGCTTGCTTTATTCACCTAAACTGTTTAGTTGCACTAAGTGTGTACTTCCACTAAGTATAACCAGTTTGACTCAGAACTTGGTAGTGGTTTGCTGGCCTGGGCCTTGTTTGCACAGATAGCAAAGACTATGAGCTGCTTTATGGATGAATCTTCGGTGTCTTTCTCCACATTCTCTAAAGTGGGAGTTTCTTAGAGCTCAATACTAATGTGTACGTTGTCTTTGACCTGTAAGGCCTTTTAGGGCTCTGAGCAATGTTACTGTTACATGTTATTAATCCTCAGGTAATTGGTTTTTATATATTATATAAGTATTTAAAATCTGAGCCGGGCGTTGGTGGCGCACGCCTTTAATCCCAGCACTCGGGAGGCAGAGGCAGGCGGATCTCTGTGAGTTCGAGGCCAGCCTGGTCTACAAGAGCTAGTTCCAGGACAGCCTCCAAAGCCACAGAGAAACCCTGTCTCAAAAAACCAAAAAAAAAACTCTGGTCCAGGCCCCAGAAAATAGGAATTTAGCCAGGATGTTGGCCTAGCCTGTAGTCTTGACTCTGGGGTGGTAGAGGCAAGAGGAAGGCTTAGGAGTTGAGGGTCAGCACTTAGCTATATACTGAGTTCAAGGCCAACCCAGGTTAAGAGACCACACGGAAAACCAAACATCTGATAAAATGATAATGAGGTATATTTAGGGATGTTTTGATTCTCATTCTGGCTCCTGGCTCATTTGTACTGGAGTAACATAAAGGAAAGTTTGTAGAGGATACATGTACAGTTTACTGTGAAACTTGCATATGCTTATAATTCCAGCCTTTGGAAGTTGGGGGCAAAGGGATCAAGAATTCAGGGCCAGCCAATACCACACAAAAAACACTGTTATGTTTCCTGTGGCCCGATCTTTACTGGAAGGGCTTGAGTTGTTAGGTGAGTGGCACACCAGCGAATCTCACCCAGCATGAAGGTTTGCTTGCCCAGAGGACCATGGCTTCTGTTAGCTTGTCATTGGAGGCTGGTTTTTATCCTTTGTACCATTCTGTTCCTTGCTGTCCTTCAGTTCTTTAAGCACAGGACAGCTACCTCCATTTACCGCTCCTTTTTCACATGGGTACGTGTTCAGATGTCCCGCTTGAATGTCTTCCTTAGTGCTGACCCCACTGCCTATCCTGGTTCACAGGCACCACAACCTGCAGTCCATGTCCAGGGGCAGGAGCCACTGACTGCCTCGATGCTGGCTGCAGCACCGCCCCAGGAACAGAAGCAGATGCTGGGTAAGTGTCCCAGGGCTTGCAGAAGGGTGTGGTGAGCCTGGTGCTGGTTTGGTTCACTGGGATTGAATTCTTGGTGGTGACGACAACTGTTCTGCCCACAGGGGAGCGTTTGTTCCCACTTATCCAAACAATGCATTCAAATCTGGCTGGAAAGATTACGGGAATGCTGCTGGAAATCGACAACTCTGAACTGCTGCACATGCTGGAGTCCCCTGAGTCTCTCCGTTCCAAGGTGAGCTGTTTTTCAGGCCCTGTGACGTCAGGGTGCTTAGAGAGGTCTGTTT